GGGAATAATAGAATTCCCAGGGAGATTTCTTAAAAAGGCGGGGGGAGAAAGAGCACAAGCATTTAAGCAATGATTATGCTGCAACTTTGCTTCCAGATGTGCTGCACCGTGGGGATGCCGTGCTAGCTAATGGCATCTTCCGAGGCAGCGATGTGCTGCTCCGGACGCTCAGCAGGAGCTGGGCTCCTCAGCCAGCCTGCCTGTAAGGGCTTTGCTGGGGTATCCAGGGAAAAAGGCAATTCACAAAGCTCCTCTCTCATTAGTTTTTTGTTCGGAGGTAGTTAAAAAGCCATGTTCAGGCACTTCCAAAGCAGAAAAAGGTTGTGACGCAGCCCAGAACACCCTTTGCGTAGTCAGCATGGGGAAGCGTGCTGACTTACCGTCCTGAAAATGGGGCAGACAAAAACACAGCACTTGGAACACCTCCCGACAGCAGGCCACGGGGCTGTGTGTTTCATTAGGCACTCCTGCCTCACGTTCCTCAGGGCTCTGAGCCAGGGCCACCCGCTCAGCTCGCAGTCCCCTGGCATTTCAATAACCGGGGGAGAACCTTTCCATCCCGTGCCACGGATGCCAAATGCCCCCTCTACTCCAATTTGTCTGTATGCTTTCAGATTTTTAATCTCACAGGTGCCCTCGGATCAACCCAAGCAGTCCCAGCGAGCTAAAAATGACAGCAAGAAAATGTAAAAGTCACGAAAACCTGCAAGAGCTGGAGCACCCCAGCTCGTGTACGGAGTGGGAGCAAATGGTATTTGGTCACCGCTCTCCTTTTTGGCCGATCTGCCCACAGGGGAGTCTAGGGAAGAGACGGGAATCTCAAGGGAGAAACATGGGTGCTGCAGGGCCAGGCTCAGCCCACGCTGCCCTGGAGGGCTGTCCACATCCCCGGTCGTGCCCTTCCCGACGTTTCCTCCCTCTGCCGGCTGCCTGCCGGGCCAGGCAGGGGTCGGGACGTGGGAAATCCTGCTGCCTGCTGCCAGCTGGCCCTGCCGGCGCTGGGTGACACGTCCTGGGCAGGAGCCAAGGCCCTGCCACGGCCCCGCGATGTTCCTTGCTGGCCTCCTCCAGGGCTGAGCAGGATGCTCGGATCGAGCAGGCATCACCCACAGCCCCACGGCATGAACGGGGCCTCCACCTCACCGCTGCTCTCACCACCCACCCTACACAAAGGGAAAAAGCAGCAATATTTTTGGGGTGTGGCGGCACCTGCTAGGATTTCTGTATGGTCAGTCGGAGCTGAAGAGAGCAGCCAAGGGGCTGGGGCAGATGGGGGAACATGGATGAGGGTTTGTGTGAGAAGAAATGCCCAAGAAGGGTTCCCTTGCAAAGACCGAAGGAGTGCACAAGACCCCAGCCCACAGCCAGCACCAAAATCCTCACAGCTGCCCCATGCCCACCCCAAACCCCTAGGAGGGATGGAAAAGCCATCGGGCATCCCTCCGAGCCACTTCCCCTCTCGCATGGCTGACCGCCTCCAGCCCTGCGGGCTCCCAACCTGCCCGAGGAGAAACCAGACCAAAACAAGCAGTGCGGAGGCAGAGGGAACGGAGCCAGACCTTTTCTTTTTTTCTTTTTAAGGGATTTCGAAGACTGGAGCAGAGAGCCAGCAGAGTGAAAAACAACCACGTGGGGACAGTGAAAATAGGAGCTGAAGAGGGGAAGATGGGAAAGGTCTAATAAAAAGTCACAGTATATAAAATACTCGGGAGCCCACCTCTGCCAGAAAGGCTGTGGGAGGGGGTTTGGGTGGTAATCCCGGGCTGCTTGAGACTGTCCAGGCAGATGGGGTCTGGATCAGAGCAGCAAGGCTTAGGGTTTCACTCTATCAACCTGAAATAAAATGCTGTTCCCTCGCAGGGTTCTGTTACTACACAGCACAAACCAAGGGAGGTCAGTTGGCCACGAGAGGCTCCTCCAGAACTCGGGTAGTTCTCCTCAGCTCACAGCCAAGTCCAAATCCCACACAGAAAAGAAATGCTTCCCTCATCTCAGCAAAAGCTACGAGGGGAAGCTCTCTCCTAGAAATCAGGCCCGTGGTCCCACCAGCACCCGCTCAGCCCCAGCGAAACGCCCCTGGGAGACAATCCCATGGAATATCTATCAGACAAAGGGAACTGAGTCCTTAGTGAACCCAGGCAGGTTGTGCTATGGTCGCTGGGCATGTCCTCCCCACTTGGACACTGCTGGAGAAGCCCACTGTGACCTCTGAGCTTGAAAACCCATGGTGCTGTGGAACAACATCTCACTCACAGGTAGTCACGCCTAGCCCCGGCCCAAGCGATCTGAAGTACCAGCTTCCCAGCTGAAGGAAACATATATTTCCTTATCGCTTGCTATAAATACAGCTGCGCTGTTTTCCTGACCCTGTTATTCTTACAGTCCTTATCGTGTGCACTCAGATAGCCACGGCACAGTCACACGCTTCACAGCCTTCTTGCTCCGCTATTCCCAGTTTTTCCAAAGCTTTTACACCCACAAAGCCTCTTGTCCTGAAGCTCTGGCAGTGGGTGACCTTGCCCAGGACCTCCACATCCGTACTGAATGGGTCAGCAGATGAACTTGTCTTCCTTTTCCCTTCGCCACGCGGGGACCTGGCTCCCAGTTAGGGATGTACTGAAATGTCATTTCTGATAAACATTTATTTTCGGTGGGGAACACGATGTGTGCTTGTTTACAGGCGGGGGAGCGGGCCGGTGAGAAGCAAAAGGCATGCGCCAAGTCTTGCGACATCTTGACGCTTCTCCGTGCTTCTGAATACCTCGGTGTCCCGCAAGGGTCACACTGTCTGCTCCTCGGGGCATTTTGGACACAGGGAAAAAAATGCATTGGGGGAAAAGGATTCCCGAGGTCTCGGCCTGGACAAGAGACCATGCTGAGACAGCACAACAGTGGTTTCAGGTGGCCTGCATTGCATCAGCCCGGAGACCGCAGGGAAACACCCCGCAGCAAAGTGCCTATGATGAGACGACGGCTGGCCAAAGGTGCCTTCGTTTCTGTGCTGCCCAAAGCCAACCCAGGTTTCACCTGACAAAACTTCACCTTTGGACCACAGCTTCCTTTCCCTCAAGCGACAATTTGGCAGGGGGGGCATGCGGATTTTTACAAACAGCTTCTGTGGCCCCAGGATATTTGATGAGGACGGGCAAGTTCAACAGGTAACAAGGAAGCCAGAATCTTTATGGGGCATTTACCGTCCTCCCAAATCAAAGCTGTCCTTCAGAAATGCTATGAGCTTAATGAAATGAGCAAGTAACTAAGGGCTATGAGAAACCCAGCACCAACCACTGCCATGGCTTCACAAGGGTATCTGTAATCAAGTATGAGGACCTCAAACTGAAATGCTTGGGTTATACGTCTATCACACACATGGTGCAGGCGGCCACACTCAGATGGCCTCTCAGATCAGTGAATCTGCTTCTTCCTGTGCTGCATTCAAGTTCTACGTTTCCTTCTCCAAACTGGCTCAGAAACACCAGGAGGATATTCATTCCTGTGGTTTTATGGCATTTATAAGTCAAGTCTAGGCAGGAACTTGAAAATGGAGCAGTGCTATGATTTGTGTTCCCATTGAAGGGAAAAGGTTAAATTTAAAAACAGTTGAACCTAGTTTTGATCTATCTTTGGAGAAGTGGAGAAGACATTTAATTTGTGCTGTCTTTTAAATTTAAACCAAATGGTTCCTGTTGTTCAAGGGACTAAGATGAAAATCCATCACTCCTGATTTGGACGTATCAAATCACACATTTTCCAATGTTCTGCAAGTCTGAATCCTAGATTTCACTTCTTTTCCATCACAAACCTGTAGGGCTTTCTGCCTTGCTTTCACAAGCCACCTTACCAACCCATTTTAGTCTGAAAAGAGGCTGTAGCTCCAACATCTGTACAAAGGCCTAAACACATCAAGTATGAGAAAACATTAGTCATAGCAAAGTCAGCCCTTTTCATCATTTTTTCCACCGCTGTCCAACAGATGACCGTACTTAAATACGCTTTGATACCCCCACCGCCAAACTGCAAAAGGCTTCATGTTGAGCACCAAGAGAACCAAGAAAGAAACCACAGAAAATGGAAACGCCATGCTTAGGCACTTAACCAGACACAACTTTCCCTGCCCCTTTCTTTTCAAGATGAGCTTCAGCTACTCAGTTTGGTTATACACATTCAAACTCTTCCAAAACTCCAGTGCCTCTGGATGCGAGGAGTAGCCAGCACTTTTCTATTTCTTCTACGCAGTCAAATGTATCAGAAGACAATGAGAAAGGCTGCATGATTCATAGTAATGGAATGAAATGCCATTCACAAATGTTTTTTCCATAGCAATTTGTCACTTATTGTATTGAAACCACTTCAGAAGACGTGTCTCAAAGAGCCTTTTGATATTAGCATGATTAAAAACATAATGCAATTAAGCAATCCCATAAGATTTCTGTATGCTATATGAGTGGGACCTTCAGTGACCACTTCGTTCAACCCCCCTGATATATGGTCGCTTCTAAGAGAAGGCTGTTATTCTGCAACATGCCTCAGATAGTTGTACAACACCAAGGAATTCAAATCTCCTCACCCCAGAGGCATTTTGGCTCACCAAAATTTAGCTATCCAGCTTTGGTGTTCAGCCTAGCCTACATGGCTCAAACCCTCCTCACATTAATCAGAAGGATGCATCTCCTAAAAGCCATTCTGCCCACCTCAGTGTTGATATCTAAAGCTAATGGGAGCATTTTCCCTCTTGACGCATCTTTCCCCCTTCATTAACTATCCAGATGTCTACCCAGGTGACTGGTTTTCCTGCTGTTTGTGTCGTATGCAGAATCGATATTTATGTACGCACCCATCTTGCCATGCACTTGTCCGTATTCATTTCCTGCACTCAAAGCACCTTGTTACAGGAGCACGTATAACTTTTCATTCATATGGCACTGAAAAAGCCTTCAATGAGAAGTAGACAAAGAAGACCAAAGGCACCTCCCAGGCTGCCAGCCGACGCAGATCCCTACCTGCCGGGCAGTTGCATCGCTGGTGTGTGTCTCGAACTTCTCGATGTCTTGGCAAGTGAAACTTTAATTTCTGTCAAGAAACATTAAAAAGGAGTCGTTACTACTGCTGAAAGCCAAAGCGTCAAATTCTTGGAAAAGTGGGGCTGGGGGGACGTGCCCCAGCAAAGATGGGAAAGACAGAGCAGACCAGCTTGGGAACGAAGAGAGGCAATTCAAGTTCATAGTCTTTAACTAGAAATGCAGGGTTTGATTGGAAGCAGGCTAAGGGAGTTTCGTAATGGCCTCCAAATGTGGTCCTCCTGACAGGCATTACAAAATCAAGAGCCATCAGCGGGGACTGTGTCCTCATGAGAAAGCTGCATTTCTCAGAAGACCCACTCAGCAAACAAACAAACAAACAAACAAACAAAAAAGAGAACCAAAGCAGGTACTCTTCCCTCTGACACTCCTCCAGGTGTCTGTCTCACAGAGACACCTGGAAGGACAGAAGGACTGCACTAGAAAATTACAGCTGAAAGTGGTCTGAAAACAGCAGTGACTTTTCATGAAATTATTAGGGGCTTTGAAGTTTAATGTTACTCTAGTGCAGAATGAAACCAAACCTGCCGAGCATTTCCACAAGGTGGAATTACGTCAAAATGCTCGTTTCCAATGAAGTAGTATTTCTACTGGTGCTGGTGTGTTAGGATTGCAGAGCAAGAGGCTATCTGTGCATCTCTTAGATGTGATAGAGCCACCAAAGGCCCCGGAACCTTCCCTCTCTGGAAATGTCAATAAAATCAACCCATATCCTGAGCAAAACACATTTTGGGGGCAGCAGCCACACCACCCATTCATGGACGTTATTAAAATAACCAATTTAGTGAAGAAAATGCAAATCAATCCAAATAAGTTATTCATTAATGCCTGTGAATGACTCTTGGTTAATGATTTGAACTCATTTGAGAAGACTGAGCCGCCAGGGTGCCATGCTACGGAGAAACCCCATCTCCCTAGCTAACCATGAGATTCCAGTTGCATCTTCTTATCGTCCAATCTGCTTCATAGCCAGGGCTGACATTTAGAAATAAAGTCTTATGCTGGGCACAAAAGAAGCCCATGCCCAGGATCATAAAGCATTGACTTGATTTTCACAAGTAAGAGAGCATCATCCTGCAAAAAGGAAGGCATGGGTTTGGGGATCATTTCTTTTATGGAGGAAAAAAGGCACGGTTCTGCCTGGGACAAGGAAAGGCAGAACTGGCTGGAATGTTTCTATTTTTCTCTTTGAAAGCACTGGCTTCCTCACGGCAAGTCAAAATCAAAAGGGGTTGTTGCAACTGACCAAAAATGGAATATGTCCAGAGCTTTTTTGTCGCATTGGAGACTGAAATGTTTTGATAGTGAGTTAATTTGATACCAGTGGTGGGGAGAGGGTTTCACACCAGGAGAGTTGCCAGTTCCCATCCAGCATTTTATCTGCGTCCGCCCTCCCACTCTAAAAGCACAGATGCATGAATCTTGGCATTTGGGCACGCTCCCATCTAGCTGCCACCCCTGATGGCATGACTCCGTTCTGCAGTGCTGTCTGGCTTTGAACACATCGTGCTAATGGTCAAACATGGGCACAAGTAGGACAGGGGAGCCTTTATTTGGATACCCACGGGTATGTAGATATGCACATTCCCATTCCCATCTACACACGGGCCAACCAAAACGTTGGAACTCGGGACTGCCACATCTGGGTGGCGTTCCCATATTTGGGAACTGGGCTTAGCACAGTTTGTGTGTTTGTAAGGGAAGAGTTGACAGCTGACACAGACAGGGGCAGGAAGTCATTTCCTAACGAGCAAGGGTCCAACCCCCTGCCCACAGCGGGGCCCTTTTTATAGGGTAAAAAACTGTGAGGAAATGTGCAGCAGATCTCACCCCACCAAAGGTCAGGGATGTGGAAGCTGCTCAAGGAAAACAGGGCCATGTGGGAGAGGGATGGAGGGGTGCTGCTGGGCAGGGCTGGGCGCACAGCACCATGCATTCAGCAGGTGCGCACCAGTGCGGGGTATTTTCACCACCCCTGGCCATCCAGGTGGCTCCCCGGAGCCCAGCAGCTCCACAAACCCTGCAAGTGTAAAGGGCAGTGCTGCCACGGGATCGCTGCTCTGTGGTGGGAGGCAAAACCTGCCAGGAATTTAGGAGAGCCTGGCTTTCAGCTTCCTGCAGACTCTATCAAACAAACACTGACAGCAACAGAAAAAATCTTTGGCTTCTGGAGACCTCAGGTCAACTTTGGGTTGAGATGGTGAAGCAAAATGAATTCCTGGAGGTTTCTGCTTCCCTCATTACCACTGAAAAATACCGCCCGGTCCAACACGAGAAGCTGGATTTGCTCAAGGGAGCAGAAGGAAAAGGCTTTCCTCTGAAACTGGTCTTTTCCAGGCAACAGAAAAACAGTCACTTTACGGTAAGGCTGACTTTGTAAGCAGAAATAAAAGGACTTTGGAAATATGGCGTACCTCCTTTCTGAGAGCTCGGGTCTGCTTTTTCACCTGGAAGACATCAGAGCAGCCACTGTCTCCCTCTTGCCTACGTAGAAATTCCAAAACCCTTTCCTATATGAAAGAGCAGGCTGTCTGCATAGCCTGCTTGCTCATACCTGTCATGTTTTCCAGTGACATAAGGGCTGCACCTTCCCCCTACGCATGTGAAAGGGTCTGAAAGAGCCTTTGCCAGTGGCTGACCAGCTCCTCCAAAGTGACCGCACGCCCCTGTGTGCTCAGGGAGCCATCACACACTGCTAAATGCAAAGGAAAAGCCCTGTCTGCAAGAGGGCAGGGCCTGGACGAGCTGGAAATGGGCAATAAAGCCACTAGCACAGGCTTTTCCCCTGGGTCTTGTTAACTCCCCGCTAGTGAGAGCACAGGGCTGGCTTGGGTGGACAGAGCAGGGAAAGCAGAACCTCTTCTGGCATTAAAGGACCGTGCCTGTGGCCTCCTAAACCTTGCAAGTGCCTGTTTTGCATGGGCACTTGAGATTAGGTGAAAGGGAGGGCACTGCTTCAAAGGGGGCAGATTAATAGCTCTTTAGCAGACGCAGTTGTTTGCAGTCACCCGGGGAGGTGAAATCATTTCGCACCGCTATCTCCAACAGCTAAAAGAAACATGTCCCAAATAGATAATCTATTACACCCATCAGGAGGATTTCAAGGGCTGTTGGTTTCGTTAACTCTAATTGTTTTATCTCCAGTTCTGCTGTTTTTTCTTAAAGGCCCAGCTCCTGAAGCCTCAGGAGTACGCGGCATAGCGCAAAAGCGAGCAGCAAGCTCTCCTGGAGGGAGCAAAAGAGTTGGGAAGGAACGCCATCCAGGTTCAAGGACTGCAGGCAGCTGTGAGGAAATGGGACTGCGTTATCAGAGGAAGAGGAAGGGAAAATAGAAGAAATCTCACACGTTTAGCTTAGTGTTTTCCACCCCAAAGGGCAAGGCAGGGGAGGCTTAGGGTAAACTTGCTTGTGCCTGGGAAAGGGAATTGTGCAGTGTGGTTCTCAAGGTATTTAAGCAAATGGAGAAGAAAAGGAAGAAAAAAGCTTTTAAGTGGGGAGTGAAAGGGAGTTTTCAGGTGTTCCTCCTCTGCTTGTTTATGAAAGGAGAGTGTCCCAAGGAAATGAGACTACTGGGACAGCAGTGGTGACCAAAGCTCCCTGCTCATTCACAGCAGAGCCCCTCAGCCTCTTTAGCATCACTAGAAACTTGAGGAATACCTCTGACACAGACCTGAGAGGCTGTGCACACTCATCACAGTGCAGAAGGGCAGCTGATCATCCCCCAGGCTTTACATGAGATACCTGCTTTTGTTTTACACTCACACTTCTCCCCCTACAAACACACAAATTCTTTTTCCCCCTTACAGCAGCACTAAATCCATCGTGCTCTCAACCCTGCCAAGCTTTTGGCAGGCAAACCAGTACCAAATGTTACCCAGCATGGGCAAGGACCCTATTTTCTTCTTTGGGAAGTCCTAACTCTGCTACAAATGCCAGTAGTGAGTTTATTTGTGCTCTTTGTATGATTTTCTGTTGCCCCATAAATGCAGAGGAATTCCTATGTGGAGCCAAAGTTCTCCCTGATCTGCCCACTCCACACAGACATTTTTGGGGGAAAGCAGTCAATTTGTGCCTGGCAAAAATCTCCCCTCTGGTATTTGCTGACACCAGGCAGAGGTTTTCACAGTAGCAAGCAAAGCAGTGTTGCCTGGGCTGCTTCAGAAAAAGCATCTGCCATCCTCTCCTCGCTCGTCCCTGCCGAACTGAGATGGAAACAGCACCACTGCCAGCTGCAGATGCTCCAAAACTGGTCTCCAAGGACAAAAAAAACATCCCTACTGGCTGGTTCGTATAAAATGTTAATTTTAAGCCAACCAACCTCCTCTCCCTGCCAGTTTTGCTTTATTTCTGCTTGCCCAGAAAGGCACCTGCCAGGACTTTGGCATTTTGCACTCCTCGGTGCAGCCCTTATGGTGTCCCCACGGGTGCCCACAGCCCCTGAGGACACCCAGGTAGAGATGTGGCACGGTCTGGAGGGCAGCGCACACACTCAGAGCAGAGCAGTACGTGTTTGAGCATAACCCCTTGGAGCTCCTCTATCCTCACAGGCTTTGCTTCCTCACGCGCATCCAGCTCATGGGCAGAGAAGATGGGGAAGGGACAGAGATGGGAAGCAACAAGGATTTAATTTGCCCGTAGCAAAAGCTGAAGCATTCCCTGGGCAAGGGCCACCAGCGCCTTCACACACCACCTCTCCCCTCACCCTCTCCTGCCCTGACCTCCCCAGATTTTGAGGGCTGACCCCAGGCCTCAGCTTCGGTGCCCTCCTGTGCCCATCACCTCCCACCCAGCGTGACCAGCTCTTGCGAAGGCGAGCTTTCTTTCAAGCCTGGCTATTTCATTTTGTGATGGATAACGCGGAGCTGGCAGCTGTGAAACCCATTAAGGTCAGAACATGAGGAAACTGCGAGAACGTGGCAGCGAGAAGCAGCGAGGGTCTGCGTGGGGGGAATGAACCTCTCATTTTCACACCCACGACAGTCATCCTAGCCCCAGCCCCTATTCCCCCAGCCCAGCTTGCTACTGCCTTTTGCTTCCCCAGTTTTTCTCCTTTCATCCTTTCCCTGCTCCCCTTCATCTTCCCTGTTTTTCTCCACTCTTCTTGTCCCTCACCAGCCCATCCAGACACCCATCCAACTCAGCCTTGCTTCAGACCTACCAAAAAGGAGGGTGGCAGGGGGGTTTGTCGTTTCCTAAGCAAAAACCCGATGTGCCAGCCCACCATCTGCCCTCCAGCAGCCCCTCGCCCCGCACCTTGAGCTGCTTGGCCCACGCCACTGCCCTTGGAGGGGCTGGTTTGGGAGCTGGGTAAAAGCGTGCGGCAAGGCTGGGGATGGGTTCCTGTTGTGGGGGACACAGGTGCTTTTCCCTGAGCTATTTTTGAAGCTTGTGAAGCTGAGGTGGCCCCCGGGGGCTGAGGAAGGGCTGCTCAGAAAGCAGGGGTGCTGCCGGGCACGTGGGCAGCACGACAGCCCCGTTTCCTCGCTAAGCCGGGCTATAAAAAGGCAGAAAGGCGCCGCGGGCAGTGGAGCCAGCAGGACGCACGGCCCATCCGGCCCCCGGGAGGGGTCCTGCAGCACGTCTCAAATCACCCGGCGGATAAACCCTGACTTCCCAGGAGGCTCGTGCCAGCAGCAAGGAGGGGGACGCTGCACGTCACCCCCTGTGTGATACGCAACCATGTGGCACCGGTCTGGCTGCTCGTGACACTTGTCCTGCCTCCACTCAAAGCTTTCCTCTCGGGGGTACGGCCCTTGCAGTCCCTGACACACCAAAACCACCTCAAAGCCTCTCTGAGGTGAGGGATCCTGCTGGATGCCCGTCCCATCTGGGGCAGAGGCACGTGGGCAGCCCCCAGCAGCATCAGCACAGTGAAGAAAAAGGCTTCAGCAGTGAAAGTCGGTGCTTTTTGGCCCTCTTTATCGAGCAGCTCAAACTTAGGCTTCTTCAGTGGCAGCTGTACCCCGTCCTCAGCCTTGGAGGAAGACCCCACTGGCTGTGGTGGGGTTTGGTTGGGACCCAAGTGGGTGTAGCACAGCCATATGCTTTGCGGCGATGCCACAGCAGCACCAGAAGCGATCCTGGCAGCACCAGCGCATCTTATTTCGTGAGCCAGGAGCGGTGGAAAGGGGTCAGAGCTGGCACAGCAGGGAAGCCAGCCCAGCGCAGCACTGGCACATTTGCAGCTACCTGCAAATCAGCACAGCCAGGGCTTTCCTCCTCCCGTGGTCATGCCAGCTGTGGTGTGCCCTGCCTGTCCCTCTCTCAGGGCTCAAACCTGCACCAAATTCTCACGTTCAACCTCTAGCCTCAGCCCTTCCAGCAGGCAATGCCACTAAAAACCAAACGGAGAGGGCTGGAGACTCTTCTCTTCCTGCAGGGAACAGGGATGAGGTTTCCCCTTTGCAAAGTGCCAGCGTGGGCTGGGGCAGAGGGAAGCAAACGCCGTGCAGGTTTGAGAGGTGGGAGGGACCTGAAGGCACGGGAAATTCAACCTAACAGCATCGCTTGTGCAGAAACACCTTTTTAAATGGGGGAGAAACACACAACACGACTGTACGAGCACGCACGCGCCTTAAAACCTATAGTACCCCAAACTGCACAGGCAAAATGAAAGGACACCGACCTCATCAAGCAGTTGGTCAACTCTTCCCAAAATAGCCGTCTCCATTTGGTCTGCTGAGAGCCAGGCAGGGAGCTGCGTGGGTCTGTCCGCTTCCAAGTGGGACACCCGGGACTGCAGATCAGAGGTCCGAAAGTAAAGCAGGAGGCTGAGCACCAGAGAGAGCAGGGAGACGCCGGGCAGCCCCGAGCCCAGCAGGAGAGGGAGGCGGCAGCATCTCTCCCCGTCGCCGGTCCTGGGGGGAGCCACGCACCCCCTGTCAAAAGCTGCTTCGCCCACGCCTTTCCAGCTCTTCTCCTCCAACATTCCCTCCCTGTCCTGAGAAACAATAAATAAATAAATAGAATAAATAAAGCCTCACTCCTCCTCCGAGAAGCACAATCCAGAAGGCATAGAAAAAAAGACTGTCCAAGAGGATCCCAGTGCCAGCAAATGACAAATAACAGCAATTATGACAAAAGTGGATGTGGGTGTCTAGAAAAAAAAAGAACTACAAAAAACAACAAAACCAAAACACACACGCGTGCCAAAAAAATAAGAAGGTGCAGAAAAAAACGGATCCAACTGCAGCAAAGATGAGGACAGGAAAAAAAAAAAAATGTGATCAGATTTTTTTTTTTCTGTCTTTCAGTCTTTTAGGTCGCTGATGGTTTTTTTGCTTCTTTCTATGCTGCCAGTTTCAGTTCCTTCGCAGACCGGCCAGGAGCTCGCACATGAAAGTCCCCATTAGAGAGAGGTAATTCTCAGCTGCTCGGTGGACGCTGTGCTCTGGCTGCTCGTGGCTCCTCTGTAACATGACACACTCCCTCCAAACGACGGGCTGGGATGAGCGAGCCGCGCGGCTTCCCAAAGTAACCTCCTCTGCTCGCCCTCTCTCTCCACCTCTCCCTCGCCGCATGATTTATTTATTTATGCAAAGCGCCGGGGTGGGATCGGGCGATGGGACGCCCCCGTCCCGCTCGGTCCCCAAAGCTCCTCTCCGCTGCCAGCCCTTCCCTTTGAAGTGGCTCTCAACGAGGTTATTTATAGCGGCAGGAAAGAGATTGTAAAGCAGAGGCTGGGCTCGCACCAGCCCGCGTCTTTCTTTCCTCCCCGCAGCCAGAGCACAAACGGGACAGCACAAGTGGGCAGAGCCCCGGGCAGCACCGAGGAGAGGGGCTGTGGGGTATTTGGACCCCGGCATTAGGGAAGAACAGCTGGGCAGGGTGAGAACTAGAAGGAGACAGCCAAAAACCAAAGCCAGGAGCCAAGGACTCAGCAAAAACTAAGCAAAGGGCAGAGGGGAGCAATGCCCCAGGCGGGTGAGCCCCGGTATGGGGGGGGGACCTTGTTGGTTGGGTTTGATTTGGGCGTGCAACATGCTGAGCCTGGGGGGACTGAGGGCGTTCAGAGGAATTAATCTGCTGAGGCCCTCTAGTGAAGCAGAGCTTCCCGTCATCTCCCCCACGTCCCACCGGACGCGAGGCACCAGGCAGACTCCCCCATGGCAGGGAGCAGCCTCCCCAAAACGTGCCTTAGGGCAGCTCTGAGCCACGCGACCAGGAAACAAAGCCCCTTTCTGTTCTTCCGAAGTACCAGAGGCTCACCTCCCCCAGTTTTTCCGAGCATAACGTGCGATATTTTATCCTCCAGAGTGACATGTGGGCTCTGCCGAGCCCCTGCCCGTCCGTCCGTCTGTCCTTTGATCCGCATCTCGTGCACACACGGCAGAACGGGGCCCACTGCTGTGCACGCTTGCTAAAAGCAAGGGCAGCAAACTGGTCTCTTAAAATCTGGCTCCCTTGTGGCTCCTTCGCTGTCATTTACACATTTTAAATGAAGATTTTGCGTGCAGTCTGTGCTGGAAATTATTGGCAAAGAAAACTCATATTCATCTCTCGCCCGCTCTCTGTTTCAGAGGGCTGGAAGAAACAGACCTTCTGGGAGCAGGTTAAAGCAAGCAAGAGCTGTTTCTTCTCCACCAGACAAACCCTCGGAGGGGCCAGTAGCACACAGCCCCAATTCTTTGAACCGCCTCATTCCTTTTGCAGCCACTCGCTTCCCGAAACGGGGGCTTAGTGTCTGCAAGGCAGGAAATCCTTTCTTTCTTTCTTTCGTTTTTGCAGGTTTCTTGTCATCTTACTGCTCAAATTCACTTTGCCGCTCCGGCGCGCGTGGAGAACACCCCTCTGACGACTGCAGCTTTTCAACAGTTTCTCATATGAGCGGGGCAGGGCCGTGCAACCCGCAGAGCCTCTGTTTGTTCTGGAGGTGCAGCTCCCCCGTCTGCCACCCCCTGCTCGCTCTCTCCCAGCTACACCCACATTTGCAGCCTACTTCTCTGCGAAGGAAAAGGATTCGTCAAGGCCATGCCTCTCCAGCTTGGTGCTGCAACAGTGAGAAACTGTTGTCCGTGGAGCCACCTAAGATGCCATCTGCCAGCACAGCAGCAATTTCACCAAACCTGACAGTGAGAAGTGAGAGGAAGAGCTGAAAAGCTGATAAGACATGGGGAACGCTGATGGACGCGGGGAAATAAGTGGGATGCTGGGCACCCTGGAGAGCGCTGAAGTACACAACTTAAGGCCCGGGCTGAGCAACTGGTGACAGCAGCAGCCCGCTTTATACGTAGCTTCACTGAAGGCTGTCTTATTTATACCAGTCCAAGCACTAAAAATCCAGAGAAATGCACCCTCTAAGCTGAAAACGGAAATCTGCTGGGTGTCTACGTTTCATTTCCCCGGGCCAGCTGGGGAGAGCTCTCTGCTCTTTCACTCTGAGTTGCAGTAGAGGTCCTGCTGTCCAGACACGAGCATCGCCTGAATGACTCTGTAAGTGCCTTTTCCTGCCTCCCCGCCAGCTCCCCTCCAGCTGATCAGTTCACTTACAGGGTATGTCAGAGCCGCTGCAGGCTGGGGAGCTGCACTCAGCCGGGTTTCACGGGGAAGCCTTGGCTGCAGATGTGCAGGAGGGTAATTTTTCTATCCACGAGGCATGGAGGAGCCCTGTCATCCCATGCCAATACAAATGGACTAATTTAGCCACGAGCCTGAGCCAAATGCGCACGTCGAGTGTGCAGCACTGCTCACTGAACGAGCAGCCTCCAGGGACCGGTCCCAGCACACGGAGTCCTGGGGCTGAACACAGCCCAGCCTCCAACTCCTCCCGCAGCCTCAGGGGTGGTGGGTGCCAGCCTGACACCAGCCCTCCTGCACGTTTGTGATGCCTGACATGGGTCAAGTAGAAGCAGATGCTTTAAACAGAGCGATTTCACTGACCAGTGACTCTCTCACAGCAGACCGGACCACCGAGCTTGAGGCTATATCCATCTCTCCTCCAGGAGGTTGATGCAATTCCTTAGGAGGACAGGAACTGCACAGTTCCACTGCTTTCAACAGGTCCTCTGGGGATGGTTACAGACCCCAGCACAAACATGCACTGAAATCCAGAGCAAATATAAATATATACCGCCCAAGACAGACAACTGAATGCATCCGTACAACAAAACAAAGCGTTTCACATCTAGCTTGTGGCATTGGGTAGCCAATACGCTGGGTGTAGTTACGTACAGGGATGAGAGCCTCCAGGTTTCTCTGTCTGGCACTGGCACTTTGTCCATCCTGTGCCCCAGAGAGTTTGCCCAGTGCTGCTCTGCAGCAGGCATGCAGTGCACAGCTGGGTATCCTCACAGCACACAGCAGGGTACCAAGAGGTCTCACTGCAAAAGACCACGAACCCTCTGACTCCTGGAAATATCACCACAGGCCAGAAACAGGAGAGCCAGGCACAAGTGAGGTCGGGCTCACACTTCAGTGCATGTTGTTCAAGCCAACAAGTTGCCTACAGTGAGTCTTCATTTGGCCTGGGAAAAGGTGGGCAATATCAGCAGACCTTCCTCACTTTCCTTCACTTTAAGCAGAGCTTTTAATAAAAAAATAAAAATAATTAAAAAAAAACAAACATGCTCTTCCTGTCACTAACTGGAAGTTGAGGCCAACTGAACAGAGATGGCCATGCACTCAATCCCATCAGTAATCTCTGAAACAGCCTGTAGAGTTTCCCCTTTTCAGGCCATTTACTAGGGAAAAAACAAACGCAACCCCACTTCTCTTTTTCTATTCTATTTTTTTCCCCTCTCAGGAAATGTGGGGATCTTGATGTGCTTGAACGAGCCATTAACTAGCAGCCGACATCTCCAGCTATTGTAAATATATTAACTCAAGGCCTTTCGCTGCGTTTATTAGACTCAAGAACAACATCTGGAAACAGATGTTTTCTGAGAGCAAAGGAGGGGAGGGAGGAGGAGAAAAAAACAAGGGGGAAGAAAAGACTCTTGCAAGTGGAAGTACATGGGTCTGCAGACCATCCCTTCACACAAGGCTGTTCAGAAGGAGTACTGCGAGGTGCTGAGGCCAGTGCAGTCGTGTCCCCTCTGTAGACAAGGTTTGCAAGAGCAGGATGTTTCTGGGGTGCATGTTTTCAGGGAATCAGTGATGGGGGAGTAGAAAAGCTCACGACTGCTCTCAGGGCTCTAGCAAAGAGCAGTCACAGTGCTCACAAAGATGTCTCCTTCCCTGCCAACCTCTGGCACAGGGACCCACCAGTGTCCCACCTGCCACGAGCAGCCCTTGCTCAAAGGGCAGGCAGTGTGGAAACCTCCCACCCTGGGGCTGGGAAGGACCAAGGGGCCCTGCTCTGATTTAATGATGTCTTAATGGCACCATGGCTCATGTTTAGACACTATTTAGAGAGTTAACATAGTGTTACTAGGGGGAAAAGCATGCAGACGTGTGTACTTAAACCCATAACCCGAGCATTACTGGTGGAACTACACTCTCAACTGGACACGCTTTGCTCAGGTTCCAGAAGTGACTAAGGTACAAGAGAGATCTGAGCCCAAAGCTTTCCTGCATTTCTTCTGAGAAGAAATATCCCTGTATCCCTGAATATCCCTGTACCCATATGCTTACATATGCATACTCACACTTTTTTTTTTATTTTTTTTTTTTTTTATACAATCACTAATTTCTCTTCTGTTACCCCAGGCTGACCTCCCGCATGCCCAGCCCCATCGCTCCTCTAATATGCGGCTACTAATATTTGGCTGGTCAAGTCAGGAAAATTGAGCATTACCTACTTAACTGGGCAGTTGTTTATAGGATGCATCTAGTAGTCTACGGAGCAGAACAATTCCCGCCTGAGGAGCTGCTCTAACCCATTGTGGAGTTATAGAATAAAGACACATTCGATCCTTTGGGAAAAGGGTTAGGAAAATACATGGAAAAAATGTACTGTCCGCGCATAGTAATATCATGGCTGTTTTCAATCACTTGGTCCCTACAAAACAAAAGGGACCACCGCACAATATAAACTCCTAGCCCTGCCAAGCAGCAAAGGCAGAAAGAAAGAAGCGAAGCTCGCAGTAGCCGGTCGGGGCTTTGCATTTTCATACCCCTAAAATGCCTGAGCTCAGTTTTGCCTCCCTCCCGTCAAAGCCAAACCAGCTTCGTGCAGGCGCCGCGGTGGGAACCTGCCCCCAGAGCTGTGAGAGCTGCCAAACAACTGAGCAGAGCCGGGCTGGGCCAGGCCAAGTGCTCCTGCAGAGGCTGGGTCAGAGCCTCCAAGGGAAGATGAAGCAAACCCCGGCCTCGCAGCTTGAGACCACCCCTTCTCCCTCACCCCCCACAGAGGGAAAGCCCAGACCGTCCAGGCTTTGCAGGATGAGAGCATCAGGCAGCGCCTGGTGGACGCACAGTTCAGCTGCCCACACCCCTTGTGTTTTCAACTAACCTCTTGCCTGTTGTTCAGAAGAGGAGAATGGCCCTGAGCAAGCAGGCTCTGCACCCTTCTCTGTGGAAGGAGGAGTTTTTTCCCCCCAACAGAAGCATTTCACATCCAAGCTGGGGTGGGGAGATGTTTTGCTTCTTTTCAGCTGTAGGTTTTTTTTTTCCTCCTCCTGGTCTGGAGCTGATTTTTAATAGGTCGTGCTCAGAGCCGTGGGAGTCTGTAGAGATGGTCATCTCTGCTGGCTTGACTTCTGCCGTTATCTCATTTCTCACAGAGCCTGGGTGGTAGGACCTTCAGGGGAAGAGAAATGAAGAAAAATGACGTTGCTGCAAATAAGACAAGGAAAAGCCTCCACTGCTGCAGCAGCGTTCCCCAAATCTTTCTAGCTTACAGAGGCACACAGCAGCCTGTTGAAAATGGTCATTGCTCAGAGCTGAAAGTTACCTGCCTCAGGAAAACTGCTTCAGAAGCACTTCTGGTTTTGGTGCATCACTACAAGCTCCAGCACACAGCCAGAGCAGTGCAAAATGCTAGCCACAGCAAGGGGCAGGCAGATTGAATGTTCCAAATCTGCTCATAGGGGTGCAAAACCGAGGGTGAGATTTTCAGGCACTAAACCTGCACAGCCAGCTCCCGGAGCGAGGGGCAGCCGTCCCTGGGACACGACGTTCTCCAGCACGATGCTGGAGCTCAAAGGAGCTACTCAGTTCCCTCCTGCAACTCCCCTTGGCCCCTTGCTGAGCCGAAAGCCTGCCTTTATTAAAGCTGAGCTCAGGCTCAGTTACCCACGCACCGAGGCCCTTGCCACAGCACCTTGGCACGCGTAGGGCTGGTAAGTCAGAGCACCGAGCTGCATTTGGGTTTCCCATTAAATCACTTTGCAAGAGGCTACTGCTGAAAGCCCGCAGCCTCGCTGCCCAGCCAGGCTCTTGCATCCACCCCAAATCCACACTCCTCCCACCCTTTCTCCTCAACAGGGGTCCTGTTCAGCCTCTGCTACTGTCTTCCACAGAGGCATTTCTAAGGGATCCCCTGCTCCTCACCTTCAGCAGCTGCGGTCCAGGCTCGTGCCCAGGCTGCCAGCAACCCAGGACATACGCAGGGTGAGTGCACTACGGGGTGAACAGGAAACCCCAAAAGCCTGGGGCCAAACAGGCCTGCCCAGGGGAACCCAGACACCACGTGCATACCCAGAGGCAGGCAGAGCCACGGCTCGGTCTAGGAAACCAAACCCTACAGTGCCGGGGCAGGCGCATGTCCCTGTGCAAGCAGCCGGGGAACCCACAGCAGCTTTGTACGGCCTTTGAAGCTAATGAATCGATGCTGGGAGGGTTGGGAAACCCAGACGAAGTGTCAACTGCTCTGAGGGAAGCAAAAATAATGAAGCAAGGCTCCCCCAGAAGACAGATTGCTTCAGAGCCCAGGAGCAAAGCGGAGTGGCTACAGCTAGCTCAGGAAATTGGAAACAACTTTTGGTTAAAACTTCCTTTTGCTCTAACACTCGGCCTTTTATCAAAGCTCATTCAGACTCTGACAGCAGCATGCAAAGAGGCTCTGCTCCATCGTAATGCAAAAGACAGGCCCAGCAGCCAGGAGGTTAGCAGCTAATGGAGCCGAGTCAGGTTTGATTTCCCTGCAAATTGCTCGCAGAGGAAAGTCAGGAGATGAGGAACACTGCTAATGTCCTTTTGTGACACTGTGCCTCCTGCTGCTCCGGGTGAAGCCCTTGCTTGTGCCCTCTGCCTTCACCCCGCAGCTTGTTCCAGTGCTCCAGCAGGAGGGAGAGCAAAGCAAAAGCAAAAAAAGGGGGGGGGATGACACACACATGAACTCCTGAGCCACGAGCAGACAGTGCCAGAGAGCAGCACAGCTCCTCACATCAGGGGTTTTCCTTCCCACTGATGTCGCTTTCCTAGTGCCTGATGTAAATCCTCATGCCAGGGGGGTAACCTGCCTTAAATGTGGCTCTCGCAGCAGATCCTCAGCCATCTGAGGAGTCTCTTCCAGCTCATGGTATTTTTTTTATTTATTTTATTTTTTAAAGCTACCACTGGGGGGTTGTCTCCTTTTAGCAGCATGGCAAGGGGAGCGTGGAAAGCTGTTTTTCCACCCCAAAGGAGCTCTGGCACAGCTGGTTCATGTGTCAGAGGGACAGTGTGCATGAAGGCTGTGCTCTTCCTTCAGGACACTGCGTCCTCATCATGCTGGGGCACATCCAAAGCAGAGCACCAAGAAAAAAACATGTTTTAAGAGAAAGGGCCCAATTCGTCTCCCTTGGGACTTGTAACAGTCAATGGAAAAAACAAAAAACTTTTAGGCTTCCCTGGGCTTTGTCCCATATGTCCCAACCCAGCTTGACGTCAGTGTAGTTGCTCCTGCTTTGTGCTGGATCCGAAAAATGGAATTCATTGCGACAGGTCCTGATGAGACAAGGGGAGAGCTGGGTCCTCCAGCCCCAAAAACTCAGCGTACAGAGGGAGGAGCTGAGCTCCCCCCCATTTTACCACAGGCATCTGAAACTGCCTCACGATGCTTTTTAATGTTCTCCCTCTTTCTCCTCAATAAATCAGCCCTATCTTCTTTGCATAAAAGTAAAAATAAGTGGAAGCTGTGCTTGAGCACTGCTACCTCCTTCAAATCTGAGAGGCCTGGAGCAGATTACAAGCAGCAGGGAATAAACCATAAATGCTTAATAGATCAATATTAAGAAGTAGTAAACACACCCTTGCCATTCCCCCTTAAGGATATGAGCCTGTAAAGGCGGTTCACATTCTTCAGGCTCAAAATATTTACGCGTTTGGGGTTTTTACCAATGTTACCAACGCAGAGAATAAGAATTTTAAAAGGGTCAAGATGGAAGAGCCCCCCTCAGGGGTGCTGCTGCCCACCACCCACCTTGCAGAAGCCCACCCTGCCCGCAGCAGGCAGCATCCTGCACAGGTAGCAGGCAGCACTGCAGATGTCACGAGGGATCTGGGCAAAGCCACCGTCATCTGCAGAGGTTTGGTGTGCTCGGGGGCCAGCAGGAGCTGCCTCCTGCCATGCCCCAGCAGTGGGGAAAGGTGCGGGGGCCACACACACAACTGTCCCTGCATACTTGGAGTGCGGGAGTTAGCGCGGAGGCTGAAATATCACGCCCATCAGTAGGGCCCTGTGAAGAGAAAATAGCAGAGGATCTGGTGGCAGCTTCCTTTCAAGACGTACAGGAATAGCAGCACACATCTCTGCCGGATCAGATGGACTGAATTCCTCTACCCAAATCCTTCAGCTTTGAATTCTGCTGCAAACCATTTTTCCCCCCCTCCTTGGCTTGTTTGTTGTTTCAGGACCGCTAAATTACCGAGAATGGTTTACATTATATAACCACCCTGCCCTTATTGCATTTTGGGGAGGAGACTCTGACAAGCAGCCAGATCTAATTTGTACTTTAAATTGGCTTCTGGGCCAGACAGTCATGCCTTCCAGATGGAAAATCCAGTTGCACTCACCAGCAAACATCCCGGTGCGTTTGGCTCCCGAAGCAGCTTTGTTTGTATCGCCCCAAAGCCTGCTCTGTGGCATGCTTTACTTTTACACAGCTGAAGAGAGGCTGCTGGTCACCGCAGTTCCTGGTGAGGCAGCATCGCTTTCCACCACCTGTACCAGTTCAGCTGTCAGCCCTGCCTTGCTGTCCTGTTGTTTTTCCTAGAACCCTACTCAACAGCTGCAGGAGCTTTACAACTGCCAGATTCGGGATTTGTCTCCCTGGGAAAGTCCTTTCAGGTTGCCTTGTCCAAGGGAGACTCTGCTACACTTGCTCAACCTGTTTAATGCTACCCTGAATCAAAAATAATTTTAAGAAAGCAAACGCCACGTTTCTTTTCATGCCTGACACAATTTGGAAGGCGCAAGATCCTCTCTTCTCCTGCCAGGGCAGAATCAAGGGTACGTTCAGCCCTGGTTTAGGTTACAGCCAGGGTCTGGCCAGCAGCACGTTACACACGGGACTCTCTGACATTGCTCACATCCACAGGGACTTAAAATGCTCTTGCTGATGGTGACAAACCTGTGCTGTCATTTGCTTTGTAGGGGGCAAGCAAGGCGAGGTGGGCACTGCCTTGAAACACCCCCAAACACGGCTGGGAGCAGCCTGTGAGCGGCCCTGTTCAACACGTACAGCCTGGGGAACAGCAGCCCAGGGTGAGCCACAAAACTGCATCTCACAGGCAGGTGCACCACCTGGGGCTGGCTATTTGCTTGTATTCACCTACAGGAGAAGTAGCATTGTGAGAGACCATTACCTGCTCCAAAGGCAGGTGTGAACCTGCATCTGGGGTGGCCTCAGAGGGTCCATGGCTTCCTCACAGTCCCTGGGACATTTTTCACCCTTTCAGCCTTGCTCTCACAAGCCGCGTATTGTCCTAAGGTTGTACATGTATAATCTGATGGATAAAACAACAACTTGAGTCTCTCAAAACTCTTTCTTGTAGGGGCAAAATTCTGCCACACTCATTTTTTTTGTTGGCATTAGGCAAGGCCATTCATTCTGTGTGTCTTCATCCGTCTCCTTCTCTGCAAAATGAGACAAATGATCCTATGCTGTACATTGATCTAAAATAAACTGCTAAAAAAGGACAGATAAGCCAAAGCACTTCGAGACACAGTTATCAAAGCCTTACCTTGTGTGCAAGTACTGAATCTGACGCTGCCCACAACTGCATTGTCCTCCTGCTCTGGAAAGACTCTTGTCACTGGGGCACTAACTCTGCTGATGAGCCTCACACCTCCAGAAGACACGTGGCACGTATCATCCATCGATGAGTGATGCCATGGGAGAGCTAGGAAGCCCTTTGGGGCAGTTCTGAGCTAAGTTCCTGTGTTTTCAGGGACTCTTTCTGCCTACCTCTTTCTTGGAACGGGTTAAGAGCAAGCTTGCTTGGGATCATCATCCATGGACAGCCAGAGCTTGCAAGGAAGGTCAGAAGATGGCCAGCCGTGCTGTGCTCAGTGAGCAAAATCTCTCCTCAAAAGTCTTAAAGAGAAGCACCCAGCCCTAAAAGCCAATGCTGCAGCTGAAAGCATTTGGGTGGCTTCTGCCCCGATGGCCAATGAGCACTGCATTGCACAAGAGCAGGACCACAGTGACTGGCAGGGACGGAGAGGCTCAGACGGGCATGTTCCTTGTGCAGGGGAGCCGAGGTGTTGAGCAACACCCAGCAGAGACAGGCAGATGCACAGCCAGGTCTCTGCTACGTAGTCTGACAGTACCCACACATCTCCTGGGTCTCCTCCATCGCCTCTTGTAGGGACGCACATTTAGCACAGTAGTATAAACCACCATCGAATCTGAGTGGTTGCACTTTATAGCCACTTCAGCTCAGGCCCAAACAATTGCAGAGTCCACCGTAGCAAAGACCAGGCCCGTATATTATTTTAAAGCAGTAGTTTGTTTTGGTTTCGCTCCCTTGCCTGCACCTCTCTGAAATTGCCCTCTGTTTGTTTGGGATATCTGCAGGCATGCAATGTTTTCCCAGCCAACTTTGCAAAGGATGTTGCCGTCCTAACAGGCTCTGCCTTTGACTCCTGTGCTGCTGTGGCCAAGTCCTTGGACTCCTCTGCAGAGTAAATCAAATGACTTCTGCAAAAGCAGATGTGAAAAAATAACATATGCAAAATGACTGGCACGTAAAACTATGAGCAGTAACTGCAGGTGTGCAGGAGAGCTCCAGGGCTGATGCTTATTGCTCCAGCAGACAAAAATGTCTCAAGGACCCGGGGCCTACGCTGCATAACCCAAGTGAAACTCCTGCAATTCTTCCCATTTTGTGGAAGCTGGCGCTTCAGAAAGTAGGGAAGCTGCAGCCCAGTGACCCCCCAAACCAGTCCCAAGCACTCCCAGCCCCTGCCCCCATTTGATGCTCCCCTGAAGCAGGATTGAGAGGCCCAGCAGCAGGGACTAGCTAGAAGTGGTTTCTTAAAAGATGGAAAACAAGTTTCCTGGGGGAAAAGAAGAATCAGGCTTCTTTCACTTTGAAGGCTTGTTTGTTTGGCGCCTTTAGAAAAGAGAAAGAAAACAGTGGTGTTTTTGATAAAAAAATAAATAAAAAAAAATCCCCCAAATGAAGAAACAAATCGTGAAAAAATGAAATAAGACAGTTATGCCTTCTGACAAAAAATGTTGGCCAGCCACAGTGCCGTGCTAAGTCAGATGTGGCACAGCACAGCTCAGCAGCAAACAAGGGCGCTCACAGACCACCACTGGCAGCAGCTGCTGAAAAATCCTGCCCTGGCTTGGAGCTCACGCCCCCTCCTCCCACCCTGCTGTTTATATTAATTGCCTGCTACTTGTACAATCTCAGCAGCACACATATTTACCTACCTGTTAACGCTGCACTATCATCTGCCACACACCAGCGTCACCGAGTTTCTTTTTGCACTGCCTCTACACAGACAGCACCAGGTTTGCAGAAGCATCCTGACCTCTAGGAGAGACCCGAGGAGAGCCAGCAGGAAGGCACGCAGCCGTCGTGGTGCCACCATTCCTGCTGTGGAGCTCTACAGCTGCCTGTGCAGTGCTGCAGGAAGCCCACTTTGCACAACTCTGCACACTCGGCCACACACCAGCCTTGCCCATGCACACTGCCACCCGCCTACCACTTCAGGCAGACTCCCTGCCAGCACTCCTTGCGTGCATGCCGCCGCTTGCTGCAGCTCACCACTGCACACAAGCTGCTCGCCAGCATTTACCACCACCGCAGGGGTGCCCGCAGCCCAGCACTACGTGAGGGCAGCCCGTTTCTGTCTGTGGACAGCTTGGCAATAGCACAGTGCACGGCACAATCACCATAGCAGCATCAACAACATTAGCACTTGGGTTGTGGCTTGTGATAGAATCAAAAGTTAATAACAGCAGCAGGAGATAATGTGCAGGACAAAGGATCCTAATTGCTGTTGGGATCCTAATGTTGGTCACTCACCACGTACCCAGGATATGTGATCTCTGCATGGCACATTCTGTTATCCATATTCTCATGATGTTTGTCCTTCTTGGCATCACTGGATTTTCAAATAAAGTCCTTCCCTAAGGCAACTGAAGATGCCTTAAATTAGAATGTGACTGAAGTAGCTCTTGGTGGTGTTGCTGTAATAACTGTGTTCCTGTATGGAGCCAGGAGCTGAACTCTATGATCCTTGCAGGTCCCTTCCAGCTCGGGAGATGATGTGATTCTGTGATCTTTATGCCACCCTACTACACTGAGGAGCTTCCATCATGGATTAATTCCTCCTTCCCTCTGCAAATTTATTTATTAAGTGCTGAACTGGCTGATTTCTTGGGCCTGCCCTTCCAAGAGACACGTGATGGTTTTTGCAGGGAGCTGCACTGGGAAGAGCAAACAGTATGCAACTAAACATTGTTCCTGGTGAAAAGCAAGAGCTACAGCCAAGCAGCCCAACAAGGTGCCTCATGCTCCCAGCCTCTGTAGGACAAAACCGTGATGAATAATCCAAAAGAGTAATCTTCAATACCACATTTCAGCCCTAAACCAGCTAATCTGGTTAATATTGGTACGTACAGCATGCGTGATCCTACAGAAAGCAGAGGGAAGGATACCTTTCTTGGCATAACTGCCATCTGTGTTCACATCACAACTGCAATACAATAATGTTATCTTCAGTTACCTTTGCACGTATCTATCAAATGTCCCACAGTCAAAACATCTTGCCTCACAAAATACCTCACCGGCTGCAAGTGTCAAAGCAACTTTTCTCCTCCTCTCCTTAGACAAAACACATCCTCACCTCAGTGAATTAACACCGCGCGGGGTTTCTGACATGGTTACAGAAACCCAAGAGTTTCAGTGCCAAACCCACGCAGCCCCACACTTGTCAGCAAAGCATTCAGTGCTCCAATACTGAAAACCCAAACATTGCCCCTCCTTGCTTTCAAAGCAGCAGCTACGCCAAAACCCTGAGCAGGACCCAGGAACCTGAGGTGGCGTCCACTGTGCTTGAGTCCCAGTCACAAAGGTAAAAACTCACATTTCTGTGGGTTTTCTTCTTCTTCCTCACGTAAAGGAGGCAGGCTCTGTGGGCTCACTGCCAGCTGCCCCCTCACCTCAGCAGAGGGGGGAAGAGAGAGCAAGTGGAA